GTTCAGTTCTTCATAGTGTTGATATGAGTCATTCTTGACAACACCTAACAACAACCCGTAGGCTTAAGCACAGCAGAGATTGTGAAGATGGTGTAGGGTCAGTAAGGGGTTGGTTCTTTTGTACATAGGGTCAAATATGCACAGAACTGAGTTGATAGCAACACAAAGGTAGAGTAAAACTGTTTTAGGAGCAGTAATAATTTCCTCTATTGGGTCCTTATGCATTGACTTTGACTTGATTAGAATACAGTTGTGATTAGATGCCATCCAGTTGACTACAATTCATGGTGATTCTGTGAACAATAGATTGGAAATTTACCTTATCCTATGCCAGCCTCATAATCTCTGACAAAGCTCACGCCATTGTTATAGTCACTGTGCTAATCCATTTTGCTGGGAGTTGTCTTCTCTTTTGTTGACCCTCTTCCTTTCCCCAACATGTATCTTTTCAAGCACTGATCCTTCCTGCTAACATGCTCAAAATACATGAAACAAAATTTCACCATCTTTGCCTCTACGGAGTACTCTCTCATTACACTTTTTCCAAGACAGGCTTGTTTATACTTTTGGTAGTCCATGATATATTCAATACCTTTCTCAAACATCGCAATTGAAAAGCTTTGATTCTTTTTTGGTCTTCCTTATTTATTAGCCAACTTTCAGATACATATGAAGCAATTGAAAATGGCATGACTCGTAGCAGGCATACTTCAAAACAGAGTTGTTTGCTGTTGATAGATATTGTGCATTATGAGATTGTTTTGCAATAACTCCCTTCTTCTTTCCTCTGCTAGATTATTCCTCTATAATTCTCTCAGAAGATTAAAAATTTAATTACTGATTTCACAAGTGTTTGCCACCATTCTTTTACTCTCACTTAGGCTTTCTAATATAGAATGAGTAGTTCTTTTATATGCTGAAAATATGATGGCATTGCAAAACATTATGTGACTTCTTGTCGTTGTTGTTGTTGTTATGTGCCGTCGAGTCACTTGCTACTCATAGCGATCCCATGTACAAGAGCCCTAAACTCTGCTCTGTCCTGTGCCAATCGCACTGTCTCTGACACTCCCATCCCAATTATCCCAGTCACTGAATCAATCCACCTCATAGAGGGCCTTCCCCTCCTGCGCCGTCCCTCCACCCTCCCAAGCATGATGTCCTTCTCCAAGGACCGGTCTCTCCTCACAACATGTCCAAAGTATGTTAGATGGAGCCTCAGAATCCTTGTCTCCAAGGAGCCACCCGATTTAACCCTCTCCAGGACAAATCTGTTTGTTTTCCTAGCAGTCCATGGTATTCTCAGTACTCTTTTCCAGCACCAGAGCTCAAAGACATCAATTCTTCTTCTATCCTCCTTGGTCATTGTCCAACTCTCTGATGCATAACAAGTGATTGCAAAGACCATGGCCTGTATCAGACGCACCTTAGTCTCCAGAGAGACACCATTGCTCTTCAGTACTTTGGAGAGGTCCCTAACAGCAGACTTTCCCATGGCAATGCGCCTTTTAATTTCCTGGCTGCTAGTGCCAAGACTGTTGACTGTGGAGCCAAGCGAACTAAAGCTATGTACAATCTCAATCTCAATCTCTTCACCATCCATCCTGATGCTGCCAATTGGCCCAGTGGTGAGAATCCCTGTCTTCTTGACATTGAGCCTCTATCCATATTGTAGGCTGCAGTCCTTGACACTCTGTAGCAGGCGCTTCAGGTCCTCTTCAGTTTCAGCAAGCAGGGTTGTGCCATCCGTATAACACAGATTGTTGATAAATCGTCCACCAATCTTGACCCCACATTTCTCCTCATAGAGCCCAGCCTCCCGGATAATCTGTTCTGCATATAGGTTGAAAAGGTATGGAGATAGGATGCATCCCTGGCGTACACCCTTCCCAATTAGAACCATGCAGTGTTGCCCTGCTCTGTTCTGATGACTGCCTCCTGGTCCAAGTATCAGTTTCGCATTAGAAAGATCAAGTGTTCTGGGATTCCCATTCTTCTCAGAGTCAGACATAATTTGTTATGATTGATCTACACAGTCTTAGACTTGGGAAAAATGTGCTCCCCAGAAGCTATTTTAAGCAGGACAATGAACAGGATTTTTAATGAAAAGAATATTGCCTATAAATAAATCTGAAAATTATTTTAGTTCTAATTTCTGATTATTTCTGTTAAACTCTACCAAGCCAAAATTTACATTAACCTTGTCATAAAAGCACCTAATCCTTCTTATATACTCAAAGCATCCTCTTATGAGGCTTATGAGTTTCCTTTTCATTTATCTAAACTTTACACTTGGCAATATTTGCTGATTTATGCTCTTATTCCTCCAAACATGACATTTTCTAACTAGAAGTTCAATTTAATAACTATTTGCTTATTCATTCTTTCATTAATAAATATATTTTGAGTGGTAACTATTTGCTAAGTATTGCAATATAGATAAATAATGAAAGAATAAACCAGCTGGAGCCCACATGAAGTTTGCAAATTAATGGGAACTCTTATTAAATGGGACATTGAATAATTATGTATACATATAAAGATGCACCCACTACTTTGCTCAGTACTATATATGTAAAATGGAGCACTGAAAGACAATACTACAAGAAATTACACTGAGATCATTAAGTGCAGATTAGAGGCTCAACAGAAGAATGATGTTGGTTCTTTTCTTCTGATCACACTTAATTTGGGGAAATCTCTTCAACAATTATTTCTCAATATTTAAAGATCTTTCTGTTTTTTTCCTGTAGATCTCTTGGTCACAGAGTCATGCTTATGCTATTCCTCAGATTTTCTGCTTTGATTTTGTAACCTCTGGACTATTCTGACTTTGGGGCACATCCTGCCCTTTTGGTCTTTTATATTTATTGTTCCAGAAAGTACATTTTCCACGGGTTCTATTGTTCTCCTGATAACAGTGTCTATTGTGCAACTTAACAGATATTCCCTAAGGTGGGTTCAGCTCCTGGTTTAAAGTGTGTCTTGGCTCTTGGTCTCAGGGGATCCACCATCTCTAACAGACAAGTAAGTCCAATCTCTTAAAAAGTTATTTTGAATTTTATTCTACATTTTTTTCCTCTCCAACTATGTCTAGAAACTTTTTATTGTGATCCCAGTCAGAGTAATTGTTAATGACAGCTGGACACAACATATTTCCTCTGGTCTCTGGATAATGAAGTTGTTTGGCCTAATTGTTTCTTTGAGTCTCTCTTTTTAAAATTTTTTTTTCTTTGAGTTTCTTGTTTACTCTCTTGCTCTGGACATGGAATGATCAATAGTTGCATCTAAGCTAGTTAACTCAAAAGTTTTTAAAACCCTACTTGCTACTCACCATAGCAGGATGTACAACATTTTCTTTGTGGGCTACAGTTTGCCATTTGAGTCAGATGTTCCCTGAGACTCTGGTTTTAATCCCCCAAATCCAGTGATAGTTATGTCTTCAGTCTAAAGCTCTCCCAACTGAGTTGTTTCAGCAACCCAGTGACAATGTCTTAAAGTATTTGGTATGGTCACAAGTTTTTATAATTTTGTCTCATACATTTTACTCTGTATGCATAGATATATTTAAATGTAAATATATGTGTACAAGTATGTCCTCTGTTAAACACACATGCACAACATGTATGTATGTATGTATTGATGAGCCTAGGCCAATTCTCCTTCCCACAGCTGTTCAATTTACTTGCTAGGCTATATATACATTTGTAGATTATTGTTTGTTATTATTATTATATCCAGAATTGTTCATTGTTGTCTTTTATTCTATATATTTCTCAGTGTCTTCCTTTACTTTGCCGATGTTATGCTGAGAAAAATATTAAATGGTTTTGAAAGTTACTTTTAAGTAGATTGAGGTTGAAAATATGTATTACTCTAACTCATTTTTGTTGAATCAAAACTTATTCATAGCTGACTCTCCCACAGATTTTCTGAGGCTGTGAAGCACATGAGAAGGGATTGCCCATTTTTCTCCCATGGAGTTGCTTGTGGTCTCAAAGCACCAGAAAGGCACCACTGAGGGTTAGCAGTTGCCTATGGCCTAGGCCACCATAACTCCCTAAAAGTATATATTAAGTAGTAGAAATAGAGGCCCACTAATTATATGTGAAAGTACCCAGGGACATATGGTTTCATATTTTTTAATAAATTATCCTAAGAGTGCTTCTGAAATCCCCATTACTAGATATGCTTCTACCATAGAATCAGTTATCAACAGGATGCAGATGTATGCATTGTCTCTTAATTTATTGTTGTTGTTGTTATTTTTATATGTCATTAAGTCATCTGTGACCCATAGTGTCCTGATACACAGCAGCTCTGAACCCCGCCCTGTCATGAGCCAGTCTCACTAATTCTGACACACCAATCCTCATTGTGCCATCACTGTATCAATTCATCTCATCAATGGTCTTCCTCTCCTGCACTGTCAGTCTGCATGATGTCCTTCTTCAGGGACAGATCTCTCCTGGCCACATGCTCAAAGATGGAACTTCAAAATCCTAGCCTCCAAGGAGAAACTTGTTTTCACCCTCTCCGAGACAGACCTATTTGTTTTATTGGTAGCCCATGGTATGTTCAAGACTCTTCTCCACCACAATTTGAAGGCATTGATTCTTCTTCTGCGATCCTTAGTCATTGTCCAACCCTTAATTTATAATGAAATATTTTAAAGATTTAGGGCCTAACCTAGAATGTTATGCCAAGTAGCTTTGTTTATCTTCTAACTTAATACAGAGATAATGTGTTCCAATTCTAAATATGCACTCATTCTTTAAGGAATATTCTTCACTTGCCATCTGAATCGACGAAAAGGAAAGAAAACAAAACAAAGGGGAAGATATACTATTTCTCTGGACTCTCAGAGATAATGCACAAATTCCGTTGTTCTCTTTTGTTCTTACTTTGCATTAGCAGTATTGAGGAAGCATTGGAAGAAAGCCTTGTATGGAACTAAATAGTCCTTCAAACAAATATGATTCTCAGAGGCCCTTGACACTATGTCTTCAGACAATAGCTCATGTGTTCACCCCTTATCCTTCCTGATGTTGGGAATCCCGGGACTGGAAAACATACATGTCTGGCTTGGCTTCCCATTTGGTGCAGTGTACCTGGTTGCCCTACTGGGAAATTTCGTCATCCTCTTTGTGATCCAGACTGAGCGCAGCCTCCACCAGCCCATGTTCTACTTATTGGCCATGTTGGCTATGACTGACCTGGGGCTGTCTACTGCCACCATCCCCAAAATGCTTGGCATCTTCTGGTTTGGCCTCAATGAGATTGCCTTTGGTGGTTGCTTGACTCAAATGTTCTTCATACACCTGTTTACAGGCATTGAAACATTCATGCTTGTTGCCATGGCCTTGGACCGCTACGTGGCCATTTGTTACCCCCTCAGGTACAACACAATCCTGACTAGCAAAACAATTTGTATTATTGTTGGAGTAGGAATGGTGAAAAATTTTGTTTTGGTCTTTCCACTGGTATTTCTCCTTTTGAGGCTTTCATTTTGTGGACATAATATTATCCCCCACACGTACTGTGAGCACATGGGCATTGCCCGGCTGGCCTGTGTCAGTATAAAAGTCAACATATTATTTGGATTAGTTCTTATTTCTATGATTCTTTTGGATGTTATTTTGATTGCTATTTCCTATGTGAAGATTTTGCATGCTGTCTTCAAGCTCCCATCCAGGGAAGCTAGACTCAAAGCTCTCAATACATGTGGTTCCCATGTATGTGTCATCCTAGCTTTCTTCACTCCAGCCTTTTTCTCATTTATGACTCATAGATTTGGCCACAATATTCCACGTTATATACACATCCTCCTGGCAAATTTATATGTGATCATTCCTCCTGCCCTTAACCCCATTATTTATGGAGTCAAAACCAAACAGATCCGAGATCGAGTGGTGACGATCTTTGTTGTTAAGGAAGCATGACTCTGAGCACTTGATTTGGGAATAATATTCATTATTTTTTTCTTTGAGTCAGTTCTTAAAAGAGGTAAATTTAAATGTCATCATATTTTGAATTAAATGTTCTATAGAATATAATGTTAAACACATCATATTTTCTTGGAAAATATTGCTCCCTTGATTAAATTCACATTTTCTAAAAAAAATGAGTATTGTGTTTTTGTAAAAGATACTAAATCAAGATATATGGGAAAACATGTCAATGTAACTCAAGTACTGAAATATATGCTTATTAAACAGAATTCATTGATTGTGATTAAGGAGTGGTATAGGGCTAAGCATTTTATTAGCTCTTTCCCACAAATTCTTATTGATGAAGTGGAGTGCTTTTACTGTGAGGTAATTATTCACAAAACCATTTCCAGTGCTTTCTCAAGAACTATGGACCTTGTTTTACTCAAAAGTTACTTGCCCCAAGCCTAGAGGGATGGAATATGTGTGTGTGTGTGTGTGTGTGAGAGAGAGAGAGAGAGAGAGAGAGATAACAAGAAAGAAGAAGAGTGAAAGTAAGTATGAAGCCTTTATTACAGCTGAAGAGCTTTTTAGATTTTTAAACTGATTTAGATATCCATATATTGGGTTTTTGTTCCCGCCCCAATTGTCTATCACCACTGTCACTCTAATTTGGCCCAAAATAACTATATCACAAAATTCTCGGCAGTTGATTTCTAAGTGAGAATAACAATTTGTGGCATAATAGATCTCCTGAATTATGACACTATCCCAGGGTAGGGAAATAATAAAACACAATACTCCACACTCGATCTTATGCTTTATAAATTTTGGAATAGCAACTACACCAATAAACTAGGGTTAGCTATTTCAGAATATTTAAGAGATTCGACAAGACACACTCATTTAAACACTTAGAGCTAAATAAAAGTCAGTGAAAAGTGCAGCAGGAAAGAAGGTGCAGGTAAACAGAAGTCAGAAAACCCAGGTAGAGCTCCCAGAACTCTTTTTCAGTACCAGGGGATGCATTTCAGTTTTGATTTATGAGTCACTTTATACAACGATATCTGGGCTTCAAGGAAGGTAGGCACAAGTTGACTGAAGTGTTTTTGAGACTGTGATGGTTGAATAGCTAAAGTTAGATTGCATAATTGATTGCAACAGGTGCAACTTAGACAATTCAGTAAACATTGTAGATATGTTAGAACAGGATACACACAGGGGGAGGTTCAGACTTTAAACAGCACATGATAAATCACTAGCTAGTGAATTTCATGTTTATCTGGACCAAAGGGTAGTATCAGTTAAGACAATAATGCAGATAATCCTATGGCTGTCATGTCCAGCTACAAGTCAACCCTACCTTTTTGTAGCAGGCATGATGTACAAAATGCATTTATGTGCAATTACTAAGTACATTGGGTTTGGAAGAACTTTGTAGAATTAAGGTAAAATTTATTGATACAATAAACATGGTATGAGGTAAAATTTTGCAAATTCTTCGTTGTTGTTATGTACTGTTGAGTCAAAACCAACTCATGACTGACTCAGCAGCCAGTTTTCAAAGGTTGAGGTTGTAAATTGTACAGGAGGAAAGTTTCTGTCATTCTCCTGTAGAGTAACTAGTAGATTTGATACACGCGCCCTTGGATTGGCAGTGCAACTCCTTACTCACCAGCACACCAGAGCTCCCACATTCTTCATTACACAACTTCTTAAAATTCCTCACTAATACGCGTTAAAGACACTGGGCCTTCCAGCCCCCACAGCAGGTGGGAGCAGGATAAATGAGAATGATAAAAATATTTTTTCCTAAAAGATGCATTTCTGATGGCAGTAACAAGGAAATAAAATAAGAATGATTTCTGTGATAGTTCATCATATGCCTCATTTAAAAGAAATTATCACAAAATCATCCTGGTTTCCAGATTCATATTCATTCATATGAAAATAAAATAGCCTGGACAAAGAACTGAGCCAGGTGGGAATCAACAGGAAGGAAGGTGTGGCCACGGAGTTAAGAGGGCATACGCAGTAATTTCAGTGGCTCTTAAATGATTCGCTGCAGGGTATTATGGTCACAAGAGTCCACAATTAAGGTTGCATAGTGGAATGTACTTGGGGCAGGGGGAGGGGTGCGGGGGGATTGTGTACCAGGGAGGGAGTGTTTCTTTTACTTTTGAAAGAGAGGAGCGAACTGAGGTGGGGGGGGGGGGGGGGCGGAGGGCTGGGCGGGGAGAGAAGTGCAGCAATGAATGAACGGAAATCCAAAATCTCTGTAAATGTTCATCAAAATTATTTAAAAAAAAAAAAGATTCTCTGCATAGTGTTATGGTGACCAGGGCCCTACAGACTCAACAACCAGCAATGTCAACGATATCCGACTTGCTCAAAAGGAAGGCAAAGGGACAAGAGCAGAGGTGAAAGCATAGGTAATTTATTAATCAAAGAGAAAGTAAAGGCCATACTTTCTAAAGAGAGGAATGAATATTCTCTGAAAGGAAAGGAGTGGAGTGGAGAGGTCGAAAGGATATGAAGGATTGGGTGCTCACATAGCCAATCTACTTCCTCCCAGGGCAGGCTTTATACAACACAGGTGAGTGGCATTTGGACAGATGAAATGATGGTACTGGAGACTTGTGATGTCACTGTTTATGTATTCAATCTCTGCTCACCTAATTGCTAAATAGGTTACTTTGGAGGTAATTCAGACTACCCAGGTCAGCTTTCTAAGGCATTGGTACATCTTCCTTATAAGGGTAAGATATACATCTCCTAGCTCTGATTGGATGAACTTTTGCCCTCTTTTTTAACTTTTTTATTATTATTATTAAATTTTATTAGTTTTAATGAACATTTACAGAGATTTTGGGTTTTCATTCATTCATTGTTGCACTGTCTTCTCCACCCTCCTCTCCAGTTCGTTCTTCCCCCGCCCAGAATGTCTGTTTTAATTGTCCAATTGCCACAGTGCTTGTCAAAGCCAGTTCTGATTAATCTCCTTTGTCAGTGTGTCCCTTGCCATTCCCTATCACTCCTCCCTGAGAGAGACTTCACCCTGATTCATAAGGAAAAGGGGATGGCGTATTCTCTTAGCTACTTCCTGCTGAAAAGGGACGCTGTGGGTTTCAGAGTGAAGGTCTTCTCTCACTACTCTAAAGGGCCCTTTTCGCAGTAGGAAACACATAGACTATTATGGAGATTGATTTTGGAATTTAGATGCACTGTTATCAATTGTGCTTAGCCGTACATGTTCATATCTTATATGGGTTCAGGTTGTGTTCTTTTCACCCATTTGGCAAGTTTCAGCTGAAACGGCAAGACACTATCATTTTTTCTTTAGCTCTCCTTCCCTATGCTTTTGCCCCAGTTTATTTAACTCCTAACAACTCATGTCTATCATTTTCTAGTGGAAATTATGCCAGTTCTGTAAGAGCCTTTTATAACATTTTGAGAGCTCTGTATAGGAAGGAAAAGGGAAAACAGACAAACAAAAATCCCAGTATTTTTACATAAAAAATTTGCCAGCCCTCCCTGAATGGCACCTCCTTTAATTACACTCTGTTTAGGAGTTGATCTTATACAATTTTTGTTTTAAATGCTCTAAATACAGAGATTCTAGATCAGAAGGCTTGAGATTTAGAACAACTCTTTACAGTCACAACAAGTTGAAAACAATATTGTAATGAGCAGCAAAATCAGATGGCATCTAGGAGCATCCACTCTAGAGAGAGTCATTGAGATGTTTGGCAGAATATAGGGTTAGGTTTCTAGAAAGAGGGTTGACCCCGCAACCAATGTGTTGCTGTTGTTAGGTGCCATCAAGTAGACTACTACTAGTAGCAACTTTATGAACAGCTGACCCTAATCCTGCCTTATCCCGTGCCAAACTTATTGTCTCTGACACACTAGCGCCATTGCCAAAGTCACTGTGTGAATCCATCTTGTTAGAGGTCTTCCTCTTCTTCACTGACCCTCAATCATGATGTCCCTTTCCAAGGAATAGCCTACGTGTTCAAAACATAAGAGACTCTGCTGAGACTGTAGCTGTTTTCACCTTGTTATTAATTAAGGTTATTAACTGGCTAGCCTCCAACTTAAACAGTTCACTTTCTCCTGAATTTTCCGCATCTTAAGTGATTGTCTGCAGTTGTCCAAGACCCCCTTACACTTAGCCTCTGTCATTTCATTCTTTATACATTATGTACTCTCTTGAAAACCTGCAACCTTTTATTACCCATTAATGTTAATCACTGACATTTCATGTTCACTAAAATAAGGTAACCAACTTCCTTTTTTGCTTCTTCTCTTTTTCCTACATTAACCTTTCACATATTGTAGAATGTTTCACAAAACTTTCCCAACTTACCTCAGTTCTTTTTCCCCCCACACAGTCCATTTCAAGCCTCCTGAAGTCCAACTTTCACTTAAAAGAACCAACTCACAAGGCTTACCGAGTCCACACTTCCTGTCTTGTGTCCATTTATGTGTTCCTTTGCCTGGTCTTCCCATCCCTGTCTGCAGCGACCTAGCCTTCATGGCTCATATCAAGTTCTTCATTACCCTTCAAACTCTCTTGGTTTTTTGCTTTGTTAAGGTGATGTCTCTCTGGAGACTACGGTCTGCCTGATACAGGCCACTTGTTATGCATCAGAGAGTTGGACAATGACTAGGGAGGATAGAAGGAGAATTAACGCCTTTGAGCTTTGGTGCTGGAGAAGAGTATTGAATATACCATGGACTGCTAAGAAAACAGATTCATCCTAGAGAGAGTTAAACCAGGCTACTCCTTGGAGGCAAGGATTCTGGAGTTTCATCTGACATACTTTGGACATGTTGTAAGGAGAGGCAGGTCCTTGGAGAGGGACATCATGCTTGGTAGGGTAGAGGGACAATGCAGGAGGGGAAGACCCTCTATGAGGTGGATTGATTCAGTGACTGGGGTAACCGGGATGGGTGTGTCAGAGGCAATGCGATTGGCACAGGATAGAGCAGGGTTTAGGGCTGTTGTA